GTATGATTTACCGCTTCAATATGTACCTGAACAGCGTATTAAAAACACAGCAATACGTGCCTGTACAAACATAATACAAATGTAGCCATAGTCACGTAAGTAGCACGCGTTATAGTGCCACTGACTGGACATTTCACTTTGAAACTGCCGCAAAACATGCAGTAAGGTACGTACTATCTCTATTGCAGAAACGTTGCCACAAGCACATATTTTATAATTTTATCAGTTTTGTCAGGTCAGTGTTTCATGTTCAAGTGCTCCTGTTCATGTCATGGTTTAGTTCTTTTTATATTGCTATTCTGTTTATTAGTAGAACTGCATTTGGATTCTCAGGTGTAATTTCACACGGATCTATGATAAAGACAAACTACAACTGATCAAAGTTCAAAACATTTTGTGACCAGAGTGATTCAAGAGAATCATTAGGAAAAGAATGACTCACTAAGACATTTAAATGTCTAAAAATTCTTAAGAAAACATATGAGGACCCTAGTGAAAAATAAATATACTTAATTGTATTTACTAATTATATTTATTGCATGATAAGTATACTAAAAATAGATTGACATGTCTATACTAACTGAAAATACACTCTAAATGTAGTTCTCTGAGCACGAAAAAAAAAAAAAAACTTTAAAGGAGACATACTATGCCCCTTTTTACAATATGTAATATAAGTCTCTGGTGTCCCCAGAATGTGTCTGTGAAGTTCCAGCTCAAAATACTCCACAGATCATTTATTATATCATTTTGAAAATGCCTATTTTGAGTGGAAGCAGAAACACGCTGTTTTTCGGGCCTGTCTCTTTAAATGCAAATGAGCTGCTGCTCCCCACCCCCTTTTCCAGAATAGAGCTGCGCCATTACAGCTCAGACCTGCTAAAAACATCTGTTTTGCTTCTTATTATCATGTTTATTGCACTGAAATCATGCGTTTTAAACCATATGAGTTTAATCTTCTGATATACGGTTTTCTGAGTACACACATCCGAAGCACACTGACAGAAAGCGGCTGTCACAGCATGCGAGTACTAAACTAAGTTCTCAATCACACACACGTTTACATTAAAAACACACACGAGTTACAAAAACAGTCGGTTATGTCTGTGAATGTAAACTGTTGGGGAAATAAATCTTATTTTAGATCTGTGGGGCAGCAGCAATATACAGTAAATAAATCAATAAATCCACTGCTCTGTTGTCTCCTCTGAGGCTGGGACTCTAAATAGTGTTTTGTGCTCGTCTGTGCAGCCAAAGACAGAACAGTTAGCATGTTTTGCTCAAACTTTCGCCATGGCATTAGAGCTGGTACACCGCTGTCGCTTGCGAAATCAAAATGATGGCTCCGTGGGTGGAAACTTACAGATTAAGTGGCACTAATATTATAATGAGATCCCTTTGCCACGTCACCAAGGGAGCGAAATCAGCCTATATTATATATATAATGTCAAATAACTTCAGAGACGTTAACTACATGAAAAGTAACAATGTAAAATGTATTCAAATAATTTCAATTCATGCGTCATATTTAAATCCGCTGCGAGACCGTCAAACTGCCAAATCATTTTATTGCGTTTTACATAATACACTTGTGCACTGCATTGAGAGCTGAAGCGCGCAGAGACAACGGGCAGAGAAATGTTACGGATGGTTTTACTCCATCTGCGTTCACTGAAACTAATGTTATGGCAGTTTATGCAATTGTTTCCTGCAGCGTTAATGACAGATCATGTCAGGTAAAAGGGAAGCAAAACATTCTGCAGATGATATTTAATGTTGTGTCCACTAACAGCTTCAGGTTTAACGTACTTTCGTGTTCTCAGGCCATTTCAGGTTTATTTTCATGCACCGCTTACTGTGCCTATAATAAGACTACTCAGAAATTCACAGTCTTTAAATACATATAAATTGTGCTTTCATCGATGGAAAATGTCTGTGTACTTATATTAGTACTTGTAACAACAGTATAAAAAGAACACGAAGCAACCGCAGTTCTGCACAGTGTGTGTCTGCTTTGGTGGCGCAACTGATAAAGCGGGTGCGCTTGTGTCGTTGCGACCCGGGTTTGAATCCAGTCTGTAATGCTTCCTACATTCAATGTTCAAATGTCTGTCCCCAGTGTGTTACTGATGGTCTCTGGGTAAGTGAGTTGCCTGGTATGCTGGGAATGTTAGTAGGCCTAAACGATGAATTGTAAAGCTGTGCCATAATTTATAAAGATTAATTAATTGCATTAGAAGCACACAATAATGATGCTATTAGCACACTTCAAGTTTACTTTGAATGCCATTGCAATGCGTTTTAAAAGTTACTAAAAGTAAAGGATAGTATGACCTCAGTTTGTTATTAGTATAATATTAAGGCACATTTAACACTCTTAAAGTGTACAGGTGCATCTCAATAAATTAGTATGTCGTGGAAAAGTTCATTTATTTCAGTAATTCAACTCAAATTGTGAAACTCGTGTATTAAATAAATTCAATGCACACAGACTGAAGTAGTTTAAGTCTTTGGTTCTTTTAATTGTGATGATTTTGGCTCACATTTAACAAAAACCCACCAATTCACTATC